GGGGGGAAGTCCTCATTAACCTATGTGATACCCAAATCTTATTAGAGTATGAACTTAGTTTTAAACCGTTTAAAATCATACTTGTACTGTAATTTATTTCTTATAAATTCTCAATTTAACACCACATTCTAACTATAGGTTAATAACAATGTTGGTATATTTGAAACTGCTAAGGAATTGATCTTAAATGTTCTCACCCACCAAAAAAAAGTAACTATGTGAGAGGTGACAGATATGTTAATTAGTTTGATTGCCAGTAATCAATTTATATACACAGATCAAGAAACATCTGTAAAATTATATTTTTTAGTCAATATATACCTCAAAGCTGGGAAAAGAACTATGGCACTCTAAAGGCCTATAAGATTAAAGGAATAATTATATATTCATTTGGCTTATTATTATTACACAAACTCTGGGAAGATATGTAAGAATTGAAAGGTGACTTGGTAGATGAAGACTCTGTCATCATATGCCTTTTGATACTGTTTATATTTAAACTAGTCACAAATCAAATAAAGATAAAATTGTAACATTTATCTGAAGGAAAGAGAGCAAATTCCTGGAGCCATCTGGTGTTCCAAAAAGTTAATTGGTTTACCTCTCAGAACCTAAACAACCCAGAGAGGATAAGCAACACTTTTGTTTTAAACTGTTGTTTTTAAACTATTCCCAAGAAGAGACCGAAGTATTACTTAGGAGAAAACTGGTCTAGGTATTAACAGTCTTCACTTCAAGTAATTGTTTGCTTTGTTTGTTTGTTCTGTTTTGAGAATGGAATCCTGCTCTGCTCCCCCAGGCTGGAGTGCAGTGGCACAGTCTTGGTTCACTGCAACCTCCGGCCTCCCAGGTTCAAGCGATTCTCCTGCCTCAGCCTCCTGAGTATCTGGGACTACAGGCACGTGCCACCACGTCCGGCTAATTTTTTGTATTTTTAGCAGAGACAGGGTTTCACTGTGTTAGCCAGGATGGTCTCGATCTCCTAACCTCGTGATCCACCCACCTCGGCCTCATATAGTGCTGAGATTTACTCATTAAAATGAAGTATCTAGATATAATTTCCTATCCGAAGTCTACTATCTCCAATAGAACAATGTACCATAACAGTGCATTTCCTTCATTGTCTTTTGCCACCTGCATTATAAATCAGACCTCTTTGGAGAATAACATAATTTAGAAGTAGGCAATGTAGATAAAAAGAAATCTCAAAAAACTGTTGAAAGAAATTAAATAAATGGAAAGACATCTCATGCTGATGAGTTAGAAGACTTAATATTGGTAAGGTGGGCATACTCTCCAAACTGATCTACAAATTCAATGCAATCTTTTTTTGTCAGAATTTGGCAAGCTTGTCCTAAATTTCATATGGAAATGCAAGGAAGTCAGAATAGCAAAATATTCTTGAAAAAGAGGAACAAAGTTAAAGAATTCACACTTTCCGATTTCAAAACTTACTACAAATCTAAAATTACCAAGACACTGTGGTACTGGCATAATCATAAACATACAGATCAATAGAATAGAACTGAAAACCCAGAAATAAACCCTTACATTTACGGTCAGTTGATTTCCAAAAAGGGTGCAAGACAATTCAATGGGGAAAAAAGCGTCTTTTCAATAAATGGTGCTGGGATGACTAGAAATCCACATACAAAAAAATAAAGTTGGACCTCTTCCTCAGAACATACACAAAAACTAACTCAAAATTAATCACACGCCTAAATGTAAAGGTCTAAAACTATAAAACTCTTAGAAGAGGCCAGACTCAGTGGTTCATGCCTGTAATCCCAGCACTATGGGAGGCCGAGGTGGGCGGATCACAAGGTCAAGAGATCGAGACCATCCTGGCCAACATGGTGAAATCCCATCTCTACTAAAAATAGAAAATTATCTGGGCTTGGTGGCGCACACCTGTAGTCCCAGCTACTCAGGAGGCTGAGGCAGGAGAATCGTTTGAACCCGGGAGGCAGAGGTTGCAAATGAGCTGAGATCATGCCACTGCACTCCAGCCTGGCAACAGAGTGAGATCGCATCTCAAAAAACAAAACAAAAAAAGACAAAAACAAAAATCTCTTAGAAGAAAACACGGGAGTAAATCTTCGTGATTTAATATTAGGCAATGGTTTCTTAGATATGATGCCAAAAGCACAAGAACACTTACAATTCAATAGTAGACAAGTAATTCAATTTTAAAATGGACAAAGGACTTAGACACTTCACCAAAAAAGATATACAAATGGCTAATAAGCACACAAAAAGATGCTCAATGTCATTAATCATTAGGAAACTCAAATCAAAACCACAATGAGACACCACTTAATTCCACTAGGGTGTCTAAAATCAAAAAGTCAGACAATAAGTGTTAACAAGGATGTGGGAAAATTGGAACCCTCATACACTGCTAGTGGAAGAATGTAAAATAGTATAGTTGCTTTGGAAACCAGTTTGCTGATTCCTCAAAAAGTTATGATACAATCCAACAACTCCACTCCTAGGTATATACTCAAGAGAACCAAAAACACACATCCACACAAAAACCTGTACATCTATGTTCATAGTAGCATTATTTATAATAGCTAAAAGTGGAAGCAATGCAAATGTCCATCAACTGATGAATGGACAAACAAAATGTAGCATATCCATACGATGCAATATTATTCAGCATTAAAAAGGAATGAAGCACTGATACATGTTATGATCTGAGTGAACCTTGAAAACATTATACTAAGTGAAAGAATACGGTCACAAAACACTACATACTATATGCTTCCATTTATATGAAATGTCCAGAATAGGCAAATCTAGAGACAGAAAATAGATTAGTGATTATCAGAGGCTGGCAGAGACAGAGGAATAGGAAGTGACTGCTCATCAGTATTGGGTTTCTCTTTGGGCTGATGATGTTCTAAAATTAAACTGTAGTGATGGTGGAACAACTGTTAATATAATAAAAATTACTGAATTATATACTTTAATGGGTATGGTATGTAAAGTCTCTATCAGTAAAGCTGTTTAGAAAAAGAAAGAAATCCAGTAATCTAAGAGACACTCATAAAGAGAAACATACCTGAAATTATCATCTGTAATTCTTAATGGAAATAAGTGCATGGCTACAGCTCTGCTGTCTTTAGAAAAAGATGTATCACTAAGCCAATTTCTCATGACCTGGGACCTAAATCAGCTGCAGCTTTGTTCAGAACACAACCACCTATACTGGAGTCATCAATCACAGGGCTAGTTCCAAAATCTAATTAAACTCCATGCATTCATGATATATTAAAAGATTGGTAGAAAGAAAAATCAGTAATAGTTTAGAAGAACATGAAATACTGAATCATTATTGCAATCTGACCCATACTTCTTAAATGAACAAACCATCAATTAACCTATTACTTTGTCCTTGAATTCTGTTTACTGCATTCATTGTCTAAAACCATAGCATCCTCAAAAATAACAATTTGGTTGGAAAAGAGGGATTTTTTTGTTGTTGTTTTGCTTTCTTCTTTGGATAGGGCCAAAAAAAAAAAAAAAGACTAGGTAGTTTTTAATCTCCCCTCCCCAAGAAGGTCACTTAAAGTATACAAAAGTATATAAAACTAGCTGCATATAACATCCACAAAGGTGAATATATGTAACGTCATCCAGGACATTAGAGAGAGAGAGAGAGACAAAGAGACAGCGAGAGAGACTCTGTGTGTGTGTGTGTGTGTGTGTGTAACAGATTTTATGGCCATTTTAAAAGAAGATCAACTAATAACTTCATCATTTTATGCAAGCAGGGGGGCCATCATACACATATATACACACACAGAGTCAGAGAGCCATAGAAGTATCCATCCTGGTTTGATAAACAAAGCTCTTTAAACACTGCTAGAATCTCCAAAGTAAACCAAGGGCCATGAAAAGTGGCAAACTGTTTTATCTGTCTCTGTCATATGCATTCTGCAGAAAAAAAAAATTTTAACCAAAATTCTTCAAATGCACATCTGTCATTCCTCCTGAAGTGACTTTTCTTTATGTCTTTTTCCCATGAGTAGAAATCTGAGGAAAGTATCATGGAGGATGCAACTCAAAGAAAGAAAAGCAAAGTGGCAAACACAGATGTTAGTCAGAGGAGCACTGGAAAGGCAGGCTTGACTGGCTCACAGGGGAGCAGACGATGCCATCCATAATACACGCTACAGGCATGAGGGCCTCATGTGAGAGAATAAATCATCATGCACAGTCACAAGAAATTAAAGAAATGTCCCTGTTCCCTGCCTTTGACCTCTATCATCTTGCAATGGTTTCAACTAGGGTCAGAGGACCCTAATAGGAGTCTGTGAATAAAGCTCCATTTATTAAACATTTCCAAATTTTTTAAGGAAGGAAACAGCAGGTATCCTAAGTTGTCATCATAGTAATCATAATGGTGATAATGATGATAATGACAGTGGTGATGACAACAATAACAACTCCTATTTATTGATCCATAGCTAAGGCTCCCTAAGCACTTGGCTAAGTCCTTCCATCCATGGCCCAACACTGGGGGAATTCTCCAAGTTCCTTTTGGGGATCATCCAAATCAGTCCTCATTTGGTCCAAAAGCTAAAAACCCTGAAGGAGTTCCGAATGTGATTTGGGGCCCTCATATAAAGTCCTCAAACCTCTTCTCAAAGCAGTTCTGGTTCAGTATAGCTTATTAATGCCCAACTGATAAAAATACAATTAAAATTGTTTACTAGGGAATTAAAGCTTGGTTAAAGTAAATAACTTGGCTAGAATTTTCTGGCTTAGTTTGGCTATATCTACTTTTCGCATCTAGAAGGTCTAGAGATTATGTTACTTACTTTAGCACATCCAGTTTTAGGGAGAAAAGGGGAAAAATTATAGATACATCTGTTGTCTAGATCTGAAAGGCTGAGCATCAAAGTATTAATAATTACCAAGTACAAAAAGGAAATGTTATAAAAGCTCATTTTCAAGCAAAAAAAAAAAGTTCATTTTCCAGAGTTCATAAAGAACATAGGCTAATGGATTTAACTCCATACACATCCTTATTTATCAGCATACGAAAATCTTTACCTCCATCCGATTCAAGTCACGAGGTTGTTGATTTGCCGGCAGTGACTCAGAATAAGAATCAAATAATTGACAGTCCCACTTGGGCTTAGGAAAAGCTAGGAAGAAACAAAAAGAATATATAAGAATATTTCCTAGAGCCATAGTAATCAGTGTTTCCCATCAGCTTTTCTGTGCTCGTTAAATATAACAACAAAATCAGCTAGCTCTGATAGACCACTTATGGCATTCATCATGCTAGGGTAGTTATTTTCAGTTCTTTACATGGACAACCCAGTACTTCTATTATCCCCATTTCACATGTGATGAAACTGAGAACAGGGAAGTTAAGCAACTTACTCAAGGTCATACAGCTGATAAATAGAAGAGCAGGGGCTTTAACTCTCAGCAGTCTGGCTGAAGAGTATGTGCTCTGAACACTTCATTTCATAGCATAGTAATTTTCCACATTAACCATCACTATCACAATATGTAAGTCTTAACTATGTTACTAGTGTAGTTTCTAATGTATAGGGACATTAACTAAGGAAATACATCATTTAACTACTGTTGGATATAGGCAAGATCTTATAATGACGTGCACCCAAGGTAATTTTATGAAATATTTACCTCCTTGGTTGTCAGGAATGATAAAAATAAGAGCATAAATTCTTGCTGATTTACAACAAAGAAAAAAGAATCTCATTAAGGGTTTCTTTCAATATGCAATAGTGACACTGGCTGTTATTTCAGTAGTTAAGTGAATTCACATGAGGAAAGATCAGTCTACTTGGTAAGCTAATTACTTCACACCAGGCTATGTCTTAGAAGTAGATTCTGCTGCACTACTTTGTCACAAAGTAATTAGGAAAGAAATATCTCAACAGCTAGAAAATTTGTCAATATTCCAAAGAGGAAAAGCAGACTGTGGCAGATAATAAACAGAAGCTACAAGTCAAGACAAGCTATTAGGAAATAAAACTGTAATGCAAGGTTTAAAAAAACTTGAATCAAATGTGAAAAGTGGATTGGCATTGTTTTAAATCCTTCCCCACCCTCCCACTCCCATCAGGGACTGAAATGCCAATATCCTTCTGCAGTAAAGTACTGGCCATTGGCCAGGCATGGTGGCTCACACCTGTAATGCCAGCACTTTGGGAGGCCAAGGCAGGAGGACTGCTTGAGTCTAGGAGTTTGAGACCAGCCTGGGCAACATAGTGAGACCCTGTCTCATCTGTCTATGTATCTACCTACCTTCCTACCTACGTGTCTAATTTAAATAAATACATACATGCATACATATATACAGTAAGTAAGGAAGTAAGTACTGGTCTGAGTATCAGCACCACATGGAGTTAAGAACAAGCACCTTGGCCGGGCGCGGTGGCTCAAGCCTGTAATCTCAGCACTTTGGGAGGCCGAGACGGGCGGATCATGAGGTCAGGAGATCGAGACCATCCTGGCTAACGCAGTGAACCCCGTCTCTTACTAAAAATACAAAAATAAGGCCGGGCAAGGTGGCGGTGGCACTGTTAGTTCGCCAGTACTCGGGGAGGCTTGAGGCAGGAGAAGTGGCGTTAAACCGGGGAGCGGAGCTTTTGGCAGTGAAGCTGAGGATTCTGGGCACTACACTCTACCCTGGGCGGACAGTGCCAGACTCCGTCTCAAAAAAAAAAAAAAAAGAACAAGCACCTTAATTTGTTCATTTGCTTACTCTGGTCTGAATTTCACCAGTATCAGATGGGGCAAACTGTGGGCCCTGGTGATTTTTCTGACCATACCTCATAGTCTGTTTCCTTGGTAAAAACTCAGTAAAAGCACCATTCCTCAGTCCAGCCCCAAGAGTGGTGTGAACCATTATTAAGATTTCTCTTTCTGGTCTATCAATCAAGGCTCTGACTAGTATTATATGACTGATGCTTTATCATGAGGGGATCTTCCTGTGAAGAAAGCTAACACTTTCCAAAACTATAAATGTTGTCAATTACCTGCTAAATCTCTCTCCAAGGTGTCCACATCTCTCCATCTCACTGTCGCCTCCCCAGTGCAAGCGCCCTGCTGCTCCTGACTGGCCAGCTGCCACAACTTAGTCTTCTGGTTTCTACCTGTGCCCCTCAAAACCTGTTCTCTGGACCTGCATGATCCTGCATGATCTGCATGATCATTTCACATAGCAAATCTGATTGTGTCTCTTATCAGCCTAAAATAAGGTGACATTATTGCCCGTCATATGTTCCCCACCTTCTTCCTCAGCTTCAACCCAGCCCCTCTACCCTGGTTCGGTGCACGCCAGTCACTGTGGCCTGAAATTCTCACTCCTCCTATGTTCCAAGTCCCCTCTCAGAGCCTCCCCAGCAAACCTGCTGTTCCCCCTTCTCAGAACCTAAGCTTCTCCCTTCTTCACCTATGTAGTCCCTAGCTCAGTCTCCACATCTCAGCCCAAACATTTAAGGAAATCTTCCCTAAGGTCATGCACCCTCTTGCTGCATCTGTGCTTCCCCTTGATGGCACGTATTAACTGCCCACTAGTTCATGGGAGTAGGAGCTCTGTTTCATACAGCATTCTGACCACAGTGAACGATGTGGTACCTCTCACACAGTAAGTACTTCACAGATATTTTTTAACAAACTCTATGGCAAAAATTTCTACCAGAACCCACCCAATCACCTATCAAAAGGTGACTTTTTTTTTCATTTTTATTTTATTTATTTATTTTTATTTTTATTTTTATTTTTTTTGAGACGGAGTCTCACTCTGTCACCCAGGCTGGAGTGCAGTGACGCTATCTCGGCTCACTGTAACCTCTGCCTCCCAGCTTCAAGCGATTCTCCTGCCTCAGCCGTCCGAGTAGCTGGGGACCACAGGTGCGCACCACCACACCTCGCTAATTTTTGTATTTTTTGGTGGAGATGGGGTTTCACCACGCTGCCCAGGCTGGTCTTGAAATCCTGACCTCAACTGATCCTCCTGCTTCAGCCTCCCAGAGTGCTGGGATTACAGGTGTCAGTCACCTCACCCAGCTGAAACTATCAAAAGGCTAGAGGGTAAGCCACCAACTAATACAACTCTGTCATTGAAGTTTTACTATTAGGGAAAAGAGACTATTTCCATAATTGCAAGTAAAATGGCATCAGATAGAATTCCTCTTCCATTATTTTACAAAACAGGCCAGGTGTGGTGGGTGGCTCATGCCTGTAATCCCAGCACTTTGGGAGGCCAAGGTGGGTGGATCACTTGAGGCTGGGAGTTCGGGACCAGCCTGGTCAACATGGTAAAACCCCGTCTCTACTAAAAATACAAAAATCTGTAAAATCTGTCAGGCATGGTGGCAGGTGCCTGTAGCTTCAGCTACTCGAGAGGCTGAGGCAGGAGAATTGCTTGAACCCAGGAGGCAGAGATTGCAGTGAGCCAAGATCATGCCACTGCACTCAAGCCTGGGTAACAGAGCAAGACTCCATCTCAAAAAAAAAAAAATATTATTTTAGAAAACAAGCCTGTGTAGTTATGAATGCATGAAGATATTAACCAAATTTATCCTCTTCACCAATCTTATCAAAAACTGGATTAGATTTTTTAAAGACTGAATATAGATCAATTAGAAAAAAGTTGGAAAAAGGTGAGAGTTAAGCTTTAAAAAAAAAAAGAAAATAAAAGAAAAAAAGCACTAGGCCAGGCACGGTGGCTCACGCCTGTAATCCCAGCACTTTGGGAGGCCAAGGCAGGCAGATCATGAGGTCAGGAGATCGAGACCATCTTGGCTAACATGGTGAAGCCCCATCTCTACTAAAAATACAAAAAATTAGCCGGGTGTGGTGGCGTGTGCCTGTAGTCCCAGCTACTCGGGAGGCTGAGGCAGGAGAATGGTGTGAACCCGGGAGGCAGAACTTGCAGTGAGCCGAGATTGCACCACTGCACTCCAGCCTGGGCAACAGAGCGAGACTCCGTCTCAAAAAAAAAAACAAAAAAAACAAAAAAAAAAACACTAAATGAGATGCCATTAAAATGAACAAAAAAATGAATAGGATCACTCATATTTTGCAAAGAAAAGCAAAAAAAAAAAAAGCACAGAGGAGACCTAGGTGGTTCTGGCCATTTTCTTAAGCTTCACACAATGATAAACATGAGTGATAAAGCATTTTAAAATATACCGTCACTGAGTTTGATAGAGTTTTATGGGTTATTTTCATGTTTTCTGTTAGAACTATATAATTATTATTTAAGATTAATCCCACAAGCCCTGGAAATGATGTGCAATTTTTGTTTAATTGAAGTGTATATGACAGATTCTTGCCTTGTTCCTGTATAAATGCATTCTGACAGTCTCCATAAAAGACCAGGAAGAAACATGAGGCTCATTGGTGTGCTTTTTCATAGATTCCCCTTTACTGAATAAGCAAGTCAAAAGAAGCCATTGGCAGTAGCAAAGGAATCAAGAGATTACTTCTTTCCTGTTAACATTTCAGATATCTAAAAATTATGTCAGTGATTTTTTTTTTTTTTTTTTTGAGATGGAGTCTAGCTCTATCACCCAGGCTGGAGTGCAGTGGTGTAATCTTGGCTCACTGCAACCTCTGCCTCCCAGGTTCAAGTGATTCTCCTGCCTTGGCCTCCCTAATAGCTGGTACTACAAGTGTGTGCCACCACACCTGTCTAATTTTTGTATTTTTAGTACATGGGGTTTCACCATGTTGGCCAGGCTGGTCTCAAACTCCTGACCTCCAGTGATCCACCTGCCTTGGCCTCCAAAAGTGCTGAGATTACAAGCGTGAGCCACTACACCCAGCCATTATGTCAGTGACTTTTGAAATAGTCTGTGAAACACTTGGACACCTACAAAAGTGACTTCTCAAATAAGGAGTCATGGCATGTCCCACAGGTTCCATGGCCATATAGCATCAAAATAATAAAACAGCACTAGTTATGACCCCCAAACAGAAAACTCAGTGGGGGTATGGGAGATGAGGTTACCCAGGACTCTCTCCAGGGCTTGAAAGAGGACACAGTGAAGGTATTAAATATAACTAACTCTAGAACAGAACTTGGCCCTTTGCCAGCTGTTAATTCCCTTGAGAGAGAGACAAAAGTCCCATGTGTCTCCAATCCCAAGAAAAGAGGTTCTTCTATGGCCCTGCACTGCCTTGGCAATGAGAGCCATGTAGGTGTCAAGATAGCCCCCAGAATGCCAGTGCTTCTTTGCCCTCATTCAGGAGAAACAGAAAGGAGAGGAGGGGAGGGGAGAGGAGGGGAGGGGAGGGGAAGGGAGGGGACAAGAAGAGGGAGAGAATGAGATGGAGAGAGAAAGACACCAAAGAGAAAAGAGGAGTTTCCCATGCTCCTCAATTGCAAGCTAATTCCTGGGACCCATGAGGATCTTCCAAGCATCTAAGGAAGGGCAGCAGGCTGGAGTTACAGCCTGCAGTAGGGAGAAAGCAGGTATTGTTAGCAAAATCCAAGTCCACAAATTAGTAGGTTTTGCTCTCTGATCTCTCCCCTTCATATATTTTATGGGGACATTTGAAGAAGATCCCAGAATGGGTCACTCTTCCCCCAACATGTTTACCTGTCACTTAGCAGCAGCCACAAACTTGGCCTCTTCCCTTTGGTTGAGTTACTATCCTCTCACTATTTAACACAGAAAATGACAGATTCTTTATTTAAGAGAGTCAGAGGCACCGAGACTGACTTAGATAAGACATTTGCCACTTTGAATCTGGTATCATCATGAGGAAGGGACTAGACAAGATAATCCAAGGCCTTTTGCAGATCTAATCACAAAATTTATACTCTACTAATAAGTAATTAAAGTTTCTTTAGACACTGCTCTCTCTTGCTAATAATTACCCATGACTAAGCTCTCATTTCTTTAACAGCCATTCCCTAAAAATTGAGAAAGGTTGTTGAAAGCACCAGCTATTTCTGGGGCCTCTCAATGAGCACTATACTTCCATGAATAATGGAAATCAGACCAGTGCCCACTTGCCTTTGAATAGGGCAAGACACACTATTAATTTTTCCACTCTCCCAAAGGAATTAATACATATGTTATACTCACCATGACTCTTTCCTATCTAAAGGGTCCAAAACAATAATTTGAGTGAGACTGTTTTATTAAGGAGAAACATAACAGTTCTATTCTAATCTTCTGATATGCTAGAATATTCTATATCTGATTGCAGTTACATGGGTGTATACATATATAAAAATTAATCGAGCATACATTTAAGGTGACAACACTTTGCACACTTCACTGCATGTAACTTTTTGACTTTTAAATTAGGTATAAGAGCTCTATTCCACTCCATTGCCCAGGGCCACCTGGAGACACTGGGGTGTGCCTAAAAATGCCAAGTTAACACTTGGCTCTACAGGATCCTCCTCTTCATTTTATACCAGCTGGGAATTTCAGTACTTGCCTATTTCACAACTGTCATGAAAGGGTAAGTGACTTTGGTTCAAATCCATCCAGAGGGTATAGAATGAGAAAAACAGGTAATACACACTTACCCAGACCAGCCCTATTCCTCACATTATGAGATGTAAAAGTCTAATAGCAGTTAAAGAAGAATAACTGTAAATACTAAGGACTCCCCAAAGTATCTGGACATCATTTTAAGAAACAAAAGTTTTTTACACAGCCTGGAGGAAAAGTACTTAAGGTTTACAATTGATGGTGAGGCCTTACCCGCCTGCAGGTACTCTGGCTGCAGAGTTGGAGGCAGGCCCTCAGGCAATGGGTAGCCGTTCTTCCGAGCCACAATGAGATGAAACGCAGCACAGAACTCAGGCAGGGTCAGGGCTCCATCACAGTCAGCATCACTAAGCTCCCTAGATGAAACAAATGTCATGAGTACCTACCATGGGGCTTACAGAACAAGTTACTTGGCACAAATGTGCCAATAAAACTCCCAGACTCTATGGTGATGGCCCTACCAGTACCCAAACCCTCCTAGCCAAATCCATTTGAAATCTCTGGGGGCCACTCCAAGGAAGAAAAATGTTGACTGATGGGATCAGCATCAGTAGCATTTTATAAATAAAAATTTAAGTTCTTCAGGTTCCATTGTTTGTGTGTCTTACAACGCTGAGGACACAGCACAAGAAACTATGGCACAGAAATAAAAATGATACCCAGAAGTCCACAGTCATTCAGTAAATGCAGGCTGCATGGGGTGAAAAGCCCTGGATATGGTGTTCAAAACAGGCAGAGGAAGGGTGGCCCCAGCCATTTTATAGTTGTCCCAGCCACTATGCAGTTTACCTGGAGCACAGAAATAAGCTCTTTGTTTTTCAGCTTTAAGGGAAAACCTTGAACTTTTCAAGTAACGTAAATTTTTGTACCAAACTGTTCTTTGCTTGAGAACTCCCTACTGGGAAAATACAAGTAAGCTCAATAAAAAAAGGAATGAATGATGTTTTAGGATAAAACTAGTAACTAAAGAAGACTGGAACCAGATAAGACAAAAATGAAGAAAGGGGAGTCTTAAACAGGCTTAACTTCAGTCATTATTTCCCACTAGAAGGCACAGACCTATTTACTCAGCACAAAAGAGACTGATTTGCCAAAGAATTATATCTAAGACCCCATAAGCTTAACCATCTCTAAGGTAGACAGAGACAAGTATACTTGTGTTAGGACAAGCATAGAGATAAGACATAAACAAAATTATTCTAGAAAGGTATTACTATTTGAAAGAAAATATATTTCTAAGGTAAGCTCCATAACTTTCCTTTAGACCATTCACATCCTCCTCCTCCAGTTTCGAATGCACTGGGGCCCTGAAATAGCTGTTCCCAGAGTGAGGGGTCAGGAAACTGCTTCATATGCTGGATAGAGAGAATACCACTCAGCTTTCATGGGCATGTCTCAACAAAAAGATAGGAAGCCTCATGCCAATAACGTTTAGACTGGGAATTCTGCCAAAACAAATGGTATTCTTTTCAAAATGATAATTTCTTTTTTCTTCCCTAGCCAGAAAATCTAATATAAGGGCCGGGCATGGTGGCTTATGCCTGTAATCCCAGCGCTTTCAGAAGCCAAGGCAGGAGGATTGCCTGAGGCAAGGAGTTCAAGACCAGCCTGGTCAACATAGCAAGATTCTGTCTCTAGAAAAAACTGAAAAGCTAGCTGGGAGGCTGAGGTAGGAGGATCTCTTGAACTTAGGAGTCAGAGGCTGCAATGAGCTATAACCATGTCACTGCCCTCCAGCCTGGGTGACAGAGTGAGCCCTCGTCTCCAAAAAAACAAACAAACAAACAAACAACAACAAAAAACTAATATAAGACTTGTAAAAACAAAAAAATTATGCCAGAGTATATATTGTTGAAGAACCTAAATCCAGCTCAGAATCCCAGATACATTGGCATGCATGAGTATTATTGGAGTAGTTTTCCAATAAGATGCACAAAACATGACAAGCAATTTTAAATCCCAACATAATTCTGTAAATCCTCACGCAAAAGGCTTTATATAAACATTCCAGTGTTTTTAATTATATATTTATAGCAGTGTGATCGCCTGCCCAGTTTTGGGGAAGAACTAGCCCACACACAGCCGAGAGTTTACAGCAGCACCGAGCATTTTCATGAATGCAAATAGAGCCATCTGGACCATCCCAGCACAGCCCTTCTGGAGCCAGAGTGCATAAAGGTGCAGTGGATACCACAGCTGCAAGTCTGAATTAGGGCCCAGCTGATAAACACCAGCCAAATTTACAAAGCTCAGAGGCAGCTAGAATAGTCAAACCTAACCTAACTCCAAAATATTCCTCAACCTGTTCACTCAGCCTTATAAAATATAAAAACTAGTTTGTCAATCTCCTCTGGTTACTTGTATCGCATCTAGTAGAAAAGTCTGAAAATGAAATCTACAGGATGGTAAGTTTCATATGCCCACAATTGCCTAGACTGAAAAGGGATTGAGATGGGGATAATAATTAGGAAATTACTTTAAAATAATAGTTAACACTTATAGTGCTTAATATGTGCCACACATTGTTCATTGTACTTTTCATATAACATTTAATTTTCACAGCAACAAAAATCTGAGTTGTATTCACTCTTGTAGTCTGTTAAAAACATCATTCAAAACATAAGACTTAAAAATGCAAAGGTAGGAACTAAAAGATGGGTTATGGATGATGGTATGAATGCCATATGGCATTAATTGTACTTACCATATATAGGAGAGTTCTGGAATGGAAAGCTTTGATTTGGTGAAGAAGTTCTTGGCCACAGAACCTGTCAAGTGCCATTGTTTAAATAAACCATTAATTACTCAGCTAGAGTAGCTTTTACATTTATATACAAATGAATCACAATTTTTTCATTCAGCAATCTCTTCTGTATAACCACAAACATATTTATTCCTCAAAGCAATTATGAATCATGGAACCAAAAGCAACACATGATTAGCTTTTTTAAAAATATGTAAATTACAATAGGGCAAAAGAAGCAATAACATAATGCTCATGAAAGATGCAAATCACATAAATTAATTTCTGTTTCATTTTTACCAAAATTTGCAAAATTTTGCCACAAATTTAAAAGACGAATTTCAAAACTTTGAACAAATTTGGCACATTTCAAATAGAAATTTCAAATAGAAAAGTAATAGAAAACTGACCAAAAAGAAGAAAATTAATACCATTGATCCCACCACACAGAGATAAGACAGACATCTTGTGAAAGATTTTTGGTGAGATTTAAGAACTCCTAGTGGCGTTTTGAGAAACTTATCCAGGAATCTTTCTTCCTTCATTTTTGATTTACCTGTATCAATTGAAATCAGGCAATCATTCTACTTTCCATGTTAACATAACTGCAAGACCCAGCTGTACTTGAAATGTTAGACCTTACTGAGATTGAATCTGAATGCTTTCAGCTCCCAATACCGTTTGATCTAGCAATTCTACTCCTAGGTATTTATTTAAGAGAAATAAAAATATATGTTCACATAAAAACTGGTACACAAATATTCAAATCAGCATTATTCTTAATACTCCAAAAGTAGAAGAACCCCATATGCCTATCAACTGATGAATAGATAAATAAAATGGGATGTACTGATATAATGGAATTATTCAGCCACAAAAAGGAATGAAATTCTGGTACACACAACATGAATGAGCCTTTAAAACATTATGCTAACTGTTGGTGGGAATGTGAATTAGTACAACCACTATGGAGAACAGTTTGGAAGTTCCTCAGAAAACTACAATTAGAGCTGACATATGACCCAGCAATCCCACTACTGGGTATATACCTAAAAGAAAGGAAATCAGTATATCAAAGAAATATGTGCGCTCCCATGTTTGTTGCAGCACTGCTTACAATAGCTGAGATTTGGAGGCAACCTATGTGTCCATCAACAGATGAATAAAGAAAATGTGGTATGTATACACAGTGGAGTACTATTCAGCCATAAAAAAATAATGAGATCCAATCATTTGCAACAACGTGGATGGAACTGGAGATCATTACGTTAAGTGAAATAAACCAGTCACAGAAAGACAAACATCGCATGTTCTCACCTATTTGTGGGATCTAAAAATCAAAACAATTGAACTCATGGACATAGCGAGTAGAATGAAGGTTACCAGAGGCTGTGAGGGGTAGTGGTGGGGAGCGAGTAGGGGGGAGGTGGGGACTGTTAATGGGTACAAAAACTAGTTAGAAAGAATGAATAAGACCTACTACTTGATAGCACAATAGGGTGACTATAGTCAATAACTTAATTGTATATTTTAAATAACTTAAGGAATGTAATTGGATTGTTTGTAACTCAAAGGATAAATGCTTGAGGGGATGGATACCCCATTCAACATGATGTGATTATTATGCATTGGATGCCTGTATCAAAACATGTCACATACCCCATAAATATATACACCTACTATGTATCCACAAAAATGTTTTAATTTAAAAAAAACTAAAACATTATGCTAAATGAAAGAGACACAAAAGGCCACATATTACGAGATTCCATTTCTAGAAAAAAAGGATACATTCTGAGAAATGCATCATTAGGTAATTTTCTCATTGTGTGAACAGCACAGGGTGTACTTACACAAACCTAGATGGTATAGCCTACTACACACCTAGGCTAGATGGTAGAACCTATTGCTCCTAGGCTACAAACCTGTACAGCATGTTCCTGCACTGAATACTATAGGCAGTTGGGACACAATAGTAACTATTTGTGTATCTAAACACAACTAAATATAGAAAACAGCCTGGGCAACATAGTGAGACCTCCTCTCTACCAAAAAAAAAAAAAAAAACTACAAAAAAAATTAGCCAGGCATAGTGATGTGCACCTGTAGTCCCAGCTACTAGGGAGGCTGAGGTGGGAGGATCACTTGAGCCCAGGAGGTCAAGGTTGCAGTGAGCCAAGATCACATCACTGCACTCCAGCCTAGGCAACAGAGTAAGACCTGTCTCAAAAAAAAAGAAAAGAAAAAAGAAAAGAAAAAAACATGGAAAAGGAAGAGTAAAAATATGGTATAAAAGATGAAAAATGGTTCACCTTTATAGGGCCCTTACCATGAATGGAGCTTGCAGGACTGGAAGTTGCTCTGGGTAAGTCAGAGAGTAAGTGGTGAGTGAATGTGAAGGCCTAGGACATTACTGTACACTACTGTAGACTTTATAAATACTGCACACTGAGACTACATTAAATTTACCAAGTAAAAATTCCTTTCATCAATAATAAATTAACCTTAGAGTGCAAGTTTTTTACTTTATAAACTTTAAAATTTATTTTAACCTTCTTGACTCCTTTGTAACAACACTTGGCTTAAAACAAAAACACACTGTACAATTTTAAAATAACTTAAAGAGTGTAGTCGAATTGTTTGCAACGTAATAGATAAATGCTTGAGGAAATGGATACCCCATTCTTCATGATGTGCTTATTTCACATTGTGTGCCTGTATCAAAACATCTCATGTACCCCATAAATATATACACTTATGTACCCACAAAAAGTTAAAAATTTAAAAAATTTGCACAGCTGTACAAAAATATTTTCTTTCTTTATATCTTTATTCTATTATTCTATTTTTTAAATTTTTAATTTTTTTACCTTTTAAACTTTTTTGTTAAAAACTGAAACACAAACACTTATCAGCCTAGACCTTCACGAGGTCAGAATCATCAATAACACTATCTTCCACCTTTATACTGTGGAGGTGACTAGAAGGGGACAATAACTCATAGGGAGCGGCCATCTCCTAGTATGACAATGCCTTCTTCTGGAACACCTCCTGAAGTTCCTGCCTGAGGCTGTTTTACAGTTAACTTTTTTTTATAAGTAAGAGTATACTCTAAAATAACAATAAAAGTATAGCATAATAAAAGGCCAGGTGCGGTGGCTCACGCCTGCAATCCCAGCACTTTAGGAGGCTGATGCGGGCGGATCACGAGGTCAGCGGTTTGAGACCAGCCTGGCCAACATGGTGAAACCCCATCTCTACTAAAAATACAAAAATTAGCCAGGTGTGGGGCACGTGCCTGTAGTCCCGGCTACTTGGAAGGCTGAGGCAGAGGAATCACTTGAACCTGGGAGGCGGAGGCTGCAGTGAGCCGAGATCGCGCCATTGCACGCCAGCCTGGGCAACACAGCAAGACTCCATCTCAAAAAAAGAAAAAGAAAAGAAAAAGAAAAGAAAGAAAAGTATAGCATAATACATAATAGGCTAATAATAGCTATTTATTATTAAGTATTATATACCATACATAATCATATGTGCTAGGCTTTTATACAACTGGTAGCACAGATTTTTTACCAGCATCATCACAAAAACATGAGCACTGCCTTGTGCTACAACATCATGATGGCTACAGCATCACTAGGTGATGAATGGAGCTGGAATTTTTCAGCTCCGTGATACTGTTACGGGACCGCCATCATTGACTGACTGAAACATCCTTATGTGGTAACTGTAGGTAAGGGAAAATCATTGGGACTATGTAATAGGTACACAGAGGTTTGTTATACCAACCAGTCTAGTTGTGTCTACATCTGAAATTCTGCAAGATACAAAAGTTAAAAGAAAACAAAAACATTTCTAACAGGTATCTGTTTGAATTTGGCTAAATATCTGCATATGTAGTGAAGAAACTCACTTGAGCGCGGGGTAAGGTTAGCAAGTGGTCAAATCGTGCAATATGGGTTTCTGTTTATTTTCCTTAATCATGACGTCAACATTAATTTGTTGTATCTGTACTATTCTGCTGTCAATAAAGCCATCACCACCAATCAGTAAATGATGTTTGCAATTACTTATACAAGTATATTTCAATTATGTGCCTCATTTCACAAGATAAAACTAATCTTTACCCACATGTCAATATGGCAAGTTATGATTATTAAGGACATACTATTACTCTTCAAATTTCAACATCTAAAAAGAAAGCTTTATGAATTTTTCTTCTAGACTCTACTATTTCACTGTTAGTTTAGTCCTTCAGCCTAGTAAAATGTAGCCACACTGGCATTAAACCAATTCCTCTCAGCTTGAATTTTACATGAGAACTCAACAGGAATCTATATATCTGAAGACAACCCAGCAGAACTGACAAGTGGGAAAGCGCTGGCCAATTTTCCTCCCCCATTTTAATTTCTCTCAGAAAAACTGGAGGAGAAACATTTGAGCCAAAGAAAACGAGCCTGAGTTTGGAGTTTGAAGGCACATATAACATAAAAAGACTTGTGACACCAACTCCTTAGGAGGCCACATTCTGTCCTTGCCCGAGCTCCAATACAATGAGGAAGCAATGAGAGGTGGCCCCTTGGAGCGACACGTTAGCATTTCAAGAACTGCCTCAGCTGATAAGGTGTGGGGTCTCGGCCAAGTTTCCCCCAAATTCCCATTTAAGCCCACTGAAATGGAAATATAATTTTCCAAACGTCATTGCCAACTTTTTTTCTGCATGGTTTACATCTGATAAGAAATTCGACTTTAGAGGAAAACCAAACTGAAATCACAGAAGGCTGCCATACTCATTTTGTGTGAATGATTTCTCAAGATGGTGGCTGTGATTCTGGTGAGAGTGATGCCTGGGGAGCCCACATTCTTACCTGAAATGAAAGAGCTTGGGTCTGGCTGAAGGGATCGGAACTGATTGACATAGTACTCGCGCTGTTCTTCTGTTATCCTCCAGGGTTCATCGGGGTAACTGCTGTTATCCTGTAGTTCTCTCTCCACTGAAAAGGACTTTAAGAATAAATTTAAAAGTAAATGCTCAGAGAACCTGTCTTTAGTGAGAAGTAGAAAAATTAAGCACCAATAAAAGTTATTATGTGTTATGCTTAATTTTTTTTTCCTCAGGTGAAGAAATTTAACTGCCTCATAACTAGAATCTAACTAGAACACAAACTTAAGGGCAGACATCATGCTTTATATATTTTTTGTATTCTTCAAAGTTAACAGCACCGAGGGATAAAATACTGAATACTCAGTAAGTGACAAAAAATTTCTAATTGTAATGAAGGAAGGGTTAAAAAAAGATGATCATTCTTATTTTCCACTATTCCTCACATTTTTATCCTTTAAGATTAGCTGAGTAGATAGTAAAATAATCTGGATTCTTTTTAAACAATGAAAAAGAAACTAGAACAGCTATAACCACATCTTTTTTACTGTTGCAGTTACACTGAAACTCTGTATAAATCCAGGAATTAAAAGCTCCAATTCAAATCCCACATTTCCAGCTCCTACTTGAGTGGCAAGTCAGGACCACTGAACCTCTCATTCGGCATTTGTGAATTACAGAAAATATTTAGTAACAGCTGGGTGGTGAGAACAGCTGTTATGGTACCACAATAAACAGGGTAACAAGGGGTGCATCAGACCTGCCACTAGAGGGCATGCAAGTCAAATTTGAGGATTTAAGAGCCTAGAAAACCAAAGTAGTGCAGGAGAAAACAAAGCTAGGGTAGGCATTGGGTGAAGAAGGGAAATGTCGATGCTAGGAGGAGGCGTGGGCCTTCGTTCTATCCCTCCCACGAACCCTAAGACTAAAGTGATACTTGCCAAGGGCCACCTTCATGGGACCAAGAGGTGAACACAAGAAGAATGAGGTTTGGCCGGGCGCAGTGGCTCACACAAGTAATCCCAGCACTTTGGGAGGCCCAGGCAGGCAGATCATGAGGTCAGGAGTTCAAGACCAGCCTGGCCAACATGATGAAACCCTGTCTCTACTAAAAGTATAAAAATTAGCCAGGCATGGTGGTACATGCCTGTAATCCCAGCTACTCAGGAGGCTAAGGCAAGACAATCACTTGAACCTGGGAGGCGGAGGTTGAACCTGGGAGCAGAGGTCGCACCATTGCACTCCAGCCTGGGCAACAGAGTGAGACTCTGTCTCAAAAAAAAAAAAAAAAAGATGGGGCTTTATGATAAAAGGAGACTAGGAAAGAAGGGGAGGGGTACTGTTGCTAAAGAGCCATCAAGGTGCCTGCTTCTGAACACACTATCAAGGAGGGAATTAATCACTGGGTGGGCGATTCCACCCACTAACCTTAGAAAAGACAGCCGGCCATCTCCTCCCCTTCCCCACACCCACACACACACCATTCCAGGAATTAATTCTTCCCAGGAACGCCTGTCTCCCCTCTGACAATGTTCAGAGAAGAAAGGAGACTAGAAAATGTCGAGCTACTACAGAACCTTGAGATGTCATCTCTGAAGTAAAATATGTATTACTTTGATATCTCACACCTCGGGTTAAGGGTGCTTTGGGAAGGCAAGGACAATGGATGAAATACTACCTGTAGAATGGATATTTCCAGAAGTGCTAAGTGAGAATTCACCCAGCAAACAGGCTATTCCTCAAAGTCATCTGGGGCCTTTAGTCAGAAGGAAGGTTACATAAAGAGATTGAGAGCTGTAGGGTTGTTAGTCGTTTGTAATAAATATATCATTTTCATACTAGATTAGTTTCTACTAAATGTAAATCAAACCACTCTTAAATGTTCAAGAAGTCATTACCCATTAGTTAATACCTTAAATTTCACAGAGTGCTTTGAAATTTACAAAGCATTTCACACACTCCTACTTTTTTAGCACCTCAAGACTTTGGAGATGTAAGCGGGTATTAATTATTATCCTTTTTCTGAGCTCAGGGAACTTACCCATATCCCTTAGTGAACCCCTGCAGGCAGCAAATAATGACCATCCTTTTTTCAATCTCTTGTTCAAAGGCAGGATTTTGCATATCAGGATTTTTTTTTAACTGGGTTGCAGCTACCTGAATTTTTTTCAAAAACCTCTTATTATTATAAAAATAAACAGGCCCAGAGCAGTGGCTCACACGTGTAATCCCAGAACTTTGGGAGGCTGAGGTGGGTGGATCACCTGAGGTCAGGAGTTTGAAACCAACCTGGCCAACGTGGTAAAACCCCGTCTCTACAAAAAAAAAAAAAAAAAAAATTAGTCAGGTGTGGTGGCAGGTGCCTGCAATCCCAGCTACTCGGGAAGCTGAGGCAGGAGAATCACTTGAACCTGGAGGCGGAGGTTGCAGTGAGCCAAGATTGTACCATTGCACTCCAGCCTGGGCAACAAGAGTGAAACTCCATCTCAATAAAAATAAGTAAAGCAAAAAAGATGAAAATCCAGTCCGAGCACCAAACAACCAAACAGACCACACAACCTTCCAAAATGCTCCCACCAAATTCCAAAGCCATGCCCTAGCAGCACTTACTGAATGAGCCCAGATGTCTGATCAGGTTCCGTTGGTAGAACACAAGGTGGAGGATGTCAGCTTGAATTGCATTAGATTACTGGCCATGATATAATGTGGAGAACTCATAGGAGCACTGCCCCCCAGGTCAGCCCTGACAGAAATAGCCAGAGCAAAGGAAACTAAAAGCTAGGCATGGGCAGGAGAGACAAGAACAGACACCTATGAGTCAACGATTTGGTGGCAAAGATGATTCGTGAAGAAGGTGGGATGTGGGTTGGAAGCTCTGTCCCACCACTTCCCAGTGAATGAAGACACAGAAATCTCCATGCTGGGCGGCCCTCATCGCAGCTGCAGCTGCTTCCACATAGCTGCTGTGGTCAAAAAGAAGCCCAGAGTCAGTTCCCTTGACCATCACCATTCTGTTTGCTATAACTGATCTGTAACATTTTGGGAAAATACAGTTCCATTGAAAAGAAAAAGAGAAAAAATCTCCAAGCTGGATGTTGGGTCTGCTGCATTCCTGGGTCTGACATGGAAGCTGCTGCTCCCCTAGAACACGCCCTTTCCCTCCTGCTCATAAAGCTGCTGTGTAGCTGTCCCTGTCGGCCCACGTGTGCTCTTTCCTCAATACCATAACCATCTGCTTTCTAGCTCCTCTCCTACATCACCTCACTCCAGTGTGGTGTTAGTGGCCTCTTAGCAGGTCTCAGGTCTACTCTGACAACAGAAATCAGGAATGAACAGAAGGGGGTGATTAACTCCTCTGCTTAAAAGCCTGCAGAGATGACCTGCTGCCTAACAAAAAAAGTCCACCTTCTGCACCTGGCCTTCAGAAGCCTCACACCCCAGCTTCCTCTCAGCAGGCTTTCCGACTGCACATGCTCACTCCTCAGGGGTAAGATGTGTGTCTTCTTCTCAGAACATTTTTCCCTGCTCAGATCCTCCAATGTACCTGCCATACCCACAGCCATGACAGAGGGCACCGCCCATTCCCATGCTCTGCTGCAAAGGTGGGCCTGGCAGCCTTGTGTGGGCACCATGACCCACCTCACACCTGGTGTCACCTGAGTGGGAGTAAGGGTTGGTGGGCACACAGTATACTGGCCTTTGGGATGCTCTGACAAGGGCTTAGGTCAGATGCTCATTCTTGGGAATGTGGATGAGAAATATCAAGGCCAATGAGCAAAGAAAGTAGATCCTAAACAGATGCTCAGCGGGGTCGTGGTATAGAGAAAGGGTAGGTGGGGCTTAAAGTTATGAGGGCACCAGAACCAAGCATCAGCAGAAGTTGGGAGGTAGGTACACAAAGGACACAAAGCCAGCAGGGCAAGAAAGGCTGCGGAAGCCTAAAGATAAGTGGACAGCGGAGCAAACTTAACGCAACCAGGGCAAGGCCTGTCAGCAGAACAAGCATGAACAGTCAATAATTCCCACCCCTACAGACCTGTGGGCCACTCCTTGGCTCTCATTTCTTAGATTCCCATGAGAATCTCAACCCCTCCTCCTTTTCAAGAAAACTTAAGTGGGCAAGGATAATTCCTACTCCCTAAACCTAAAAAGGCCTTAGGACAAAGGGAGAGGGCACACGAGCTCTGTGTAACCCACAGAGTGGCCCTTCTACTGGTTTGCACCAAGTGTGCTAACCTACCCCCCATCTCTTTCCCCTTGCTTCTTGCTATATGCTTGAAACTGATTTAATAAACCAAGTTATTTGAGCATCTTAAAAAATATGAATCTTGGCTGGGCATGTTGGCTCAAATCCCAGCACTTTGGGAGGCCAAGGCAGGCAGACCACTTGACTCTAGGAGTTTGAGACCAGCCTGGGCAACATAGCGAATCCCCATCTCTACAAAAAATATTTAAAAACCGCCAGGCATGGTGGCATGCACTTGTAGTTCCAGCTACTCAGGAAGCTGAGGTGGGAGAGTCACCTGAGCCCAGAAGGTCAAGGCTGCAGTGAGCCATGATCGTACCACTGAACCCCAGCCTGGGCAACAGAGCAAGACTCTGTCTCAAAAAAATATATATGAATCTTTATGATAGTCATGGTAAGCACCACAGTTTGAACATTTAAAGTGTTCCTAAACATCTTCACCCAGGTTTCAATCTGAAGGACAAGAGCCATATCAGATACTCCTTTATCCCATCTATAGTCCCTGGCAGGTACATCACAGATACTAAAAGGTAGTGTGAGCTCTACTTATTGACAGGCTTGAGGAAGTTCAGAAGTCTGGTACTGCAAGAGATGTGGAAACACTGCCCTATGATGTTCTTTGTGAAAGAAAACCTATGAGTCTGTTTGGTAGCTCAGCACCTCTTTGTCAGCAGCTAGGGGCCATCTCACCGCAGGACCCAGATGCGTGAACCCATCTCTTCTGAACCAACCCAACAATCAACCACAACAATCTTCTCAAAGATCTGAAAAGTCAGTCACCTAAGAATGGTTCATTGTGAAGCCTGAAGGCACTGAGAAATGAGGGTGAATAAGCTGTGGAGCCTTAGCTTTCCAAGTAGAAGCGAGGACCAGGAA